CACCAGACGCGGCGGGCCGTGTATTTTGTGCGTCGGTCTTCCTCGACGCGAAAGGAAAAAGCAATGGATTGATTGGTTAGGGTTAGGTTTCTATAGCAGATAGACCACCGCAGCTAGCTGTGCCCACAGCAGCTGCCCCCCCAATAAACGATTTGATTTACCTATACTTTATGTAGCGCAGACGGTAGCGCGGCGCCGCGCCGCCACCTCCGCACGCACACTGCGCCACCGTCGCGGCCGCGCTGTGGGCTGTGCGCGAGACACGGCGCGCAGCACCTTGTGTGCATTAGTCTGCCTCCTCTTCTCCAGAGCCGGAGGCTGAAACATCGAACAGCGCGTTTTGAAAAGGGACGACAAAAACAACAACAACAACGACGACGACGACGGCGACGACAACAAAGGCCTACAAACATTTGTTTTATACTTACCTGATACCTGACTAGAACAGTTAAACGTCACGATTATCATCCTCCGAGTGTATTTGTAACATAATGTAACGCCTACGAGGAAAGACTCTTATCATGCATGTGCGCCGACAGGTTCAAACAAAGTTGCGCATGGGTACCAACACGTACAACCATGGTCACACTCTTGCCATGGTCAACCATGGTCAACCATGATGAACTTCATCATGGTTAACCACGGTGGTCAACCATGGTTGACCATGGTTAACCACGGTGGTCAACCATGGTCAACCATGAGTAACCATGGTTAACCATGGTTAACCATGGTGGATGACCATGGATGACCATGGATGACCATGGCTAGCCATGGTCATTGACCATGGATGACCATGGCTAACCATGGTTAACCATGGTGGTAAACCATGGTTAACCATGGTCATGACCATGGTTAACCATGGTTAACCATGGTGAAAATGCCGATAATGTACAAGAAGACCCGACACAGCTATCGCCATGCAATCGCGCGACACTTTCTGGGCCCACACTACATCTCCTGCGACACTGCCTGCTGCTCCGACAATATTGACGCTGTGCTCTCTGCAACTAATGCTGCACTCATGCACTCCACAACGCCGCATGCCGACGCCCACTTCGCTCTATGGGAACATGAAAACGCGTTCGATCTTGATACGTTGCTTACCACCCCCCTTCAGAGCGTGACACAGCCGTCTCCCGCCCTATCCCAACAACGGCGTGACCTCATGTACCGTTCTCGCTTTGAGCTCTCGACTACTGAACTCAATGCACGCATCAGCCTACAGCAGCACACGCCCGCGCACAGCGTTGTTACGCTGCTCGCACCGCTCGACAGCAGAGCACCTTCCCCTCCTCAGACACCGCACAGCCGTCAATGAACGACAATGAGACCGGCACCTTTATTATCAACCCTTCCCCGTCAATCCCTTCCCCCGTGGAAATTGTCGTCGCCTCCAAACGGAACCACACCTCAGACACCGCACAGCCGTAGGGCGAAGGCGGGGAGGGTAGTGAGGCGGCGGTGTGGCCGCCCTTTTGACGACGGTTGTGGGCTCTCTGAGGTGTATGGAAGCCGTCAAAGGGGTTGTCCCTCTTGGAGATGGCGGCTAACTCCTCGGATTCCGCTGGGTCGAGGGCCTGCTGGTGCTCATGCTGCTGGCGTTGGAGGGCAGCGGTCTCCTTCTGGAGGTGTGCAAGACGAGCGGCGGCCGATGCTTGTAAGTCTCGGGAGTTTTTCGACTTCTTCTTCGCCTCCGAAGCTTGTTGCTCCCGCTCTCTCTGCAGGAGTTCTTGGTCATGCGTAGCCGCTGCGGTCTCTGCATCGATTGCGATACCGGCAGCGGCGGAGGCTTTATCGACGGCGCGTTGTTGCTGTGTGAGGCCGAGCTCGGCCCAGTCGGATGCAAGAGTACAGGGTTTTGAATATCGGCGGATACTCGGAGTACGGGAGCTTGCTGGGCTCCAGTTTGGCGTCGTGGATGTTGGACATGGCGGAAGGAAGCTGAGAAGCCTGAGTATCGACAATTTCCACGGGGGAAGGGATTGACGGGGAAGGGTTGATAAAGGTGCCGGTCTCATTGTCGTTCATTGACGGCTGTGCGGTGTCTGAGGAGGGGAAGGTGCTCTGCTGTCGAGCGGTGCGAGCAGCGTAACAACGCTGTGCGCGGGCGTGTGCTGCTGTAGGCTGATGCGTGCATTGAGTTCAGTAGTCGAGAGCTCAAAGCGAGAACGGTACATGAGGTCACGCCGTTGTTGGGATAGGGCGGGAGACTGCTGTGTCACGCTCTGAAGGGGGGTGGTAAACAACGTGACAAGATCGAACGAGTTTTCATGTTCCCATAGAGCAAAGTGGGCGTCGGCATGCGGCGTTGTGGAGTGCGTGAGTGCAGCATTAGTTGCAGAGAGCACAGCATCAATATTGTCGGAAACAGCAGGCAGTGTCGCAGGAGATGTAGTGGGCCCAGAAAGTGCCGAGAAATTTGCGGCGTAATGTGCAGAAGATTCGGCAACCGATGGAATAATGCCGAGTTCTGCATCCTCCGGAGATGTGCGATTGGTACGCTGAGATATGCCAAAACTGTCGATGCTATTTGTCGATTGGGCGATAGCTGTGTCGGGCAGAGCGCGGATTTCGCAGGAGTGATCCTCGTCAATGGCGTCAAGCGTTCGCTGAAAAAGCGTAGTGTCGTGTTCAGGCGTGGCGCGTGTGGCGATAGACTCGTTTTCTACAACAGCAGAAGTTGTGGCGATGGCAGCATTTTGTTCTGTCGTGTCACTTGAGGTCCCGTTGTGGGAAATGCCGATTGTTGTACGCCCTTCAGCAGGAAAAGGCATATATATCTGAACTTGGCAGATTGTGCGCTTGTGTGGCGAGAATGGTGTCGCGTGACGCAGCATTGTCAGACAGTGGAGTATCGTTGGCGGCCAGCGTACAACTAGTGTCGAAGGTGTTTGGTGTGTATCACGAGGCACGGATGTGCTGGGTGAAACGGAGATGCAATTGCATGTTCGACCAAAGAACCTAAAGATGAGGCTGCTTGCTGCAGCAGGGAGTGTACTTGAGTGGCGCCCGTGGAAGGGGCGGAATGTGCCGCCGAAACTGGGGAGCTGTTGCCACTAGAAGCAGAGCTACGTGGAGCACTATTGGTGCCGCGTGGGCTGGCTGCGGATGAATCGGCGCCGCTGCCTGTGAGTGCTGCCATGGTGGCGAGCTCAAGCTTACGAAAGAGAGAGATACGTCTACCCAACTACCCAAGGAATCCCACAGCAGAAATGTTTTTTCCATTGCACCCGAAAAGAAAGCTAAAAAGTTGAAGCGACTCACGTTCGAATGCAAGACGAGGTGTGACGAGGATGTGACGATCTCTGACGCGGGTTCAGCGTGGAGCTAGTCCGACCACAGTGTGCGGGTTGGAGCCGCTTCGGTTCTTCAGTCTGTTTCCTTCCTGTTTCTCCCTTTCTCTCTCAGTCGCTCGCCATCGCTCACTCCCACATTTTAGTGTACCAGGATGCGCAGTGGGGTTGCCAAGACGTACGTAGGATGCGCAGTCACGGACCCCCGCCGGGGAGGGCAGCACGTCGTGTCGCAGACCAAACTTCGCCACACATATGGTGACCACAACGCTCGGCATTCCGTCGCAGCGGATGCTGTCGTAAAATGTGTGGCCTGAAAAAACAAAACACCCCACACCGGTGCACTCTAAAACGAAGTCTAATGTCACGAGACGATGACATTTCTGTGAGTGTAGACTTAACTACTTTTGGTACAAATTATGTCCGAGGCCTGAGACGCAAGAGTTCAACCATTGTTGCACTCTAAAATCAAGACGTTTTTTTTTCGGTGCATCATTTGGCGGTCGCCTTGAGACCTTTTTTTTGCCGGCTGTTGCCAGCTTCATCGGGCCAGTTTCTGAATCACTGCCTGTCGCGAGCTCGAAACAGCACAGTGAATGAATGCATGCAACCACTATTTCAGTCATTGTGCTAGACGTTGCGGTGCGGTAAATCGGATTTTATTCTTACCTTCAAACATTTTTTTCGGCCGTCTTCGCCGACGTGGGCGTCCCACTCTCACGATCACAGCGCCCCTGCCGCGCGCTCTAGACTTCAAGGGCGAGCCGAGTTACAGCACCTTGAAGTACGACTAAATCTCCTGCATCCGGGCGCGTCTACGGTAGGGGCTGTCTGTCAATATAATCACGAAGCTCATTGGACGAGATTTGGGAGAACGTCAACTCATAAACAATGACCGACCATCACGCACGTTGTTGTTACATGGAGCACCGAGGGCGGATTTCATTGTAATTGTGCGGCTTGGTGTCGACATGCTGTGGTATTGAAGGTGCTGCTGTAGCCTCTACACTGCAGTACCATATACAAGTGAACGTTCCTTTCCAGCTTCGTGCCCTTGGTATGCTGTGCACAGTCTTCACCCACCAACCTCCACCCTTTCCTTTCAGCGTACTACTGAGCTGGCGAGGGCGCCTCGCGCCCCGAGCCTGGAGACCTTGATGTACAAAATACGTTACTCCCGGTTACCATTTTCACTGCTCTGTACGGGTCTTGGGGAAAGAAGAAAATGCCTTAACGGTCGGGCTTGACAGTCCGCACATTTCTGTCTACGTTCTCCGCTCCCTTGGAGACACAGTTTCTGCTGCTACCGCTAGAGCTATACACCGGTGCTAGGTTTACGACATTACACGCCCTTCCACTTACAACCTGCTGCCGTGCAGTACAGGTAACTTAACATGTGACAGCGAAATCATTCCGGAAGGAATAAAGGCCCAAAAACTTTACATGTCGTTCCTGTCTCCACACCCACGTTTTGACAAAAAAAAAAACTTGGTACGACGGCGGCCCATAAGATCCACATGTCGCGTTCTCTGTCTCCACACCCACGTTTTTGACATAATAAAAAAACTTGGTACAACGGCGGTGAATACAAGGCGCTGGACAAAAAAGTCAGGAGTGCCAGGGTCTCAGCCTTTTCTTTCAGTGTTTGCAGCGCGCAGACCGTAACTCAGCTGGTGTTGTTGTATCATGTGCTGGCGTTAGGCGCCTTCACGTTTCCCGCAGCAATGGTCGATGTCGGTTTGAAGACGACTGCTGCAAGGGCGGTTGTGCCCTACCCCCCTCCATACTCACGCCTCTTCCGAACTGCTGCGAATGTCTTTGACGTCGTAGATCTTTGGTAGGTGCTAAAGCACTTTTTGTTCTGCCGCTCTCCGACAGGTGGAAGCCGTACATCTGGCCGTTGATGGGTCCAGAGGCGGTGACCTGCGGGACACGGGAGAAATAATACTCAAAGACAAAATCTGTGAAACAGAGAATGGATCGACATTTCCAGCTCACTTGTTCCAAGTTCCAAGAGATACGCAGAAACATCAGGGTACACAGCAAGGCCGAAACAAGAAAGGGGCGTAGCCCATGTAAGAAAGACCCTTCCAGCAAGACATCCGGCCATTATGTATGTGGTACTATGCCTCGAACACGGGCACTTTCAGGGGCAATTTGAACCGTTGCCATCACCGTCGACAACAAGCAGCTCCATCGACATGATACTGGATGGCCCATGCATAATTTCGACTTACATCTCTGTTGTGAAACATTCCAGGCTCCCAGTCGGAGATTGAAGTGAAGGAATGCCCGTTGCGGCGGGTTTCCGAAGCGAAAAACGTTGCCAACACCTGTTCAAAGGGGGTGTCCAGTAAGCATGTAAAGAGTAGCGAGAGCAGGTGGTGGTGGAGAATAGACAACTCTATTGCCAAGGATTGGTTGATGCCTTCAAATGTAATAAGAGCAGCTCGTCAAGGACAGTTTTCTTGAGAGGTTCAGCTGACGTTTGAGGTATGCCATCAAGGCTAGCACGTTGGAAGGGATGATGCTAGTACATCAGGAGAAACAACTTCTTGAGACCTGTTCTGATGATGATGTACACCACACGCAGTTTCAGCCTTGTAGGATCTTATTGGAACAAGTGTAGCTCTGCCAGCCGATACAAATGGTGCGGCGTCGATAAACCCTATCCAGACGAGGGTGAGAACTTGACCTTCAAGAACATTCTAGAACCATGTAACGAGAAAACCTCAAACGATACCTGAGCTGGCGAGAGATAAGCCTCCGTGTCACTGTACCCCAATGTTTTTCTCCCATCCAAACCCCGCAGTCTCCCTCTCCACACCACTGTTCTACACTGCACCCTTCGGCCCGCCTCGTCGTGACCAGTATATGCTTAACACAAGCTCTGGGTGTGCTGTCAGTCGATGCGAAAAATGAGATGCCGTGGTTTTCGGGGCAAGTCAGAAACCCGTGGCCCGAGCGTAAGAACTCAATTGCTATTCTGTGGAATAAGACGCCGCAGCCGGAAAGTCTTGGTTGGACGAGATCTGCATGAACTCGTGCCGTTCAAGATGGCACCTTCTTAGTAGTGGAGCGTTCGAGCTCTCAAAAGTCGAAACATTGCCTGCCAGGTTCTGACGTACACCGTCGGACACGGTAATTATTGATCCACACACCTGCGACAATTCCACCGCATCCTTGCTGTGATTAATGACGTAATGAGGGGTGCCGTCTGGATCCAAGCCCCAATCGAACTGGCTCTGGAACACGGTGCGAGGATAGGGCAAGAGCTCAGAAGATATGAAGGTCGATTCGCCACAGCAAGCTTACTGTATCACATGGTGGCACGACACTTGTGGGCGCACACCAACAGTCACCATGGGCGAAGCGACTTTGGGGAAGGACAAAATACACTTCCGAGGACAAGGATAAACACGCAATAGGATCGCCTCAGGGAGACCTCTCTTTCAAAAGCAAACTGAACTGCCACGCGAGATCTGACCACCTGTCCGCTGCCGGAACGTGTACCATTTCACGGAACCGCAAAGGTATCTACGGGTCGACGACGGTTCCTGCCCTAGCAATACGCTGGTCTCGGTCGGGGGCAAACCATTCAAGATACTTGAGTCGGAGACGGTGCGCCAAGGTCGAAACTGTTTAGTGCTGTATGTCGCAGAGGAACCCGAACCCTTCTTCTACCGGAAGTTTCCGCGATGTCGAAAACAGGACGACAAAGGAAACCGTAACTGTTGCAATGGTGCAAACGCTTACGAGGCCAGGTACGTTCGATTTCGGATTTTTCGTGGGCGACTGAATCCCGACAATATTGACATCCGGGATTGCTTGGATTGAAGCAAGCAACGACAACCGACCTTTTCGGGATGCCACTGCAGCCCGTACATGGGGTAGTCTATCGCCTCCGCAACGCTCACGTACGTCCGAACGCCCTGTCTGTCAGCGTTGATGGCCATTACCCTGACTTGACGAGAGTCCAGCCAAAATAAGACAAGGTGTGTGAGCGTGCGCGTGCTACTACCCTCTAATTGAAGAAAGGGAACACCGAACAGCTGTAAGGGACTTGGAAGTCCGCTTTCTTCTATCTCGTTGTGTCCTAACCATGCCACACCTAACAGTTGTCAAGCCCCTTAGCGTTTCAGTTTTTTTTGCGAAATAAACAGGTGGAACAGGATACTGACTATGACCCCAGTTAGGCCGCATTCCCTCCTTTTGACCTGGTTTTGGAGTCGGTGATCTCCGATTTTCAAACTAAAATCACCTATTTTTTCGTAGGTCGACGTTCTCGACATACATAGCTCCAACAAATTGTGTTGTGAGGCGAAATAAGCGTGGTTGCTGCCACCGTCCGCCCTGCCTGCAAGAAAACCATGTCTCTTCATCGGTCTTCTACATCTATACGTGCCTTGCCAATAAAACTTCGCCACGCCCTCGCACACGTGTAGCTCCCTATGGAAAATCGCCGTACCTGAACATCGTATCCAGGCCAGACTCCACCAAATCGCCCGGTGAGACCCCCTTGTGGTGAGCGTTGGTTGCCAAGGGCTTGACCTTGGCTTTCTCGAGCAGGCTCGTTGGCACTCCTGTTTGGAAGGACATTACGAATTTTGTCAAGAAAAACATGAGTTGAACTACGGTAGTAAAACGTGATATCGTCAATCGCATAAGTCGGGGTCATATTCGGGTGATGCTTAAGGATTGGTTAGTTCCGCATGGCAACACGCGGTTGGCCAAAACATGTGGAGATGGTCTGCATCGTGATACATACGTGGTGCGCTTCGAAAAGAGGGAAGGTCGAGGGTCGGGGTTAGACAATGCTGTTATCATTTATGTTGGCGGTATCGATCGTGTTCCAACAACAGCAACGAAAAAAGGCAACGATATTAACAAAGGAATCCCCGAGCAGCAAACAATTCGACTCACCGGACAGCATTCGACTTTCTCCGGCATCGGCCAGGAGACCAAGTGGTTGGGTAAAGTTCTCGGCATCGAAATCGTCAGTCACAACCGGGTAGTCTCCTGCGAACGTCTATCGAAAGAATGTCCATAGTGGGAGCGAAGAACAGGTGGCGGGTGGCGGGCGAGGCACTCGACATCATGCATGGACGTAGCGTAGAAAGTTGCACTACCTGGTTCCCAACGGACACCGAGGTGGGGAATCTTGGGATACACGTGGCATTACCGATCCGAGGGAAGGGGATATGGGCGGGAGGAGACCAGGACGCTAGCTCACGCAAAAATGTGAGACCATTGCACTCGTCAAGCACTTTTGAAGCCCTCAACGAATTCCGCCAGCTGGGACAGCATCACCTGCGACAAGTGCGCTGTTTCGGCTACGCAAGGCAGGCGCGATTGGACAGCCATATTCGCGAACGATACACTCTCCAACGACGCCAACCGATCGAGAAGTGAACTTGTCAAGCAACAGTCGCCCGTTACCTAAACGTTGAAACTACCAGCAACGGCTGTGTCGAAAGAGCAGTTGTTCCTTTGGCAAGAGGAACGATCCTACCATCGTGGTGCGAACGCACGATGGCACGCCGACCACCGCATCCACAACCATCAACATCATCAGGTTGTGGTGGTCCATGACACAACAACTGCGCTTCCTTTCATCACCTTCTTCAGACAGAAACAATCGTCGAAAGGCCTCTACTGCGAACGCAGTGGACCACGATATACACGGTCGAAATCACTCGTTAGTATTCCAACGCTACACTGGTTTCGGGCCGAACACGGCGACGTTTTGGGTGCAATGCTTGATGTAGAAATATACCTACTTGTCGCGAGCTGTCCAGATTCTACCAACAACCTGAACAGAATATTTCATCTGCGATTTCAGATAACGAGGTTTTTCCCCACTCTTCCGGAAAACCGAACGCTTGAAACTTGTAGATACACAGAAAAAAACAACCCAATTGAATATAAATCAATTATTTCTCGGGAGATGTATTGATACGCTCGGACTAAACAACCATCTGCAAGGGGTTGAGAGGAAACGTTTACCGCATTCTTTAAATAAACTATGATTTGCCGTGCTCTCTGTTAAAAGTCATGATAATGGAATTTGCAGGACATGTTGATGCAGGTTGCGTCCGATGTGTTCACCTTCTCGGAGCTTATGGTCGAGCACTGCACCTGGTTTTCGAAAACTCCGCCGCGCCGAGTAATGTTTCTTGTATTACAATGTTACGGACCGACTCAACTCCGCCATAAAAAGCGTCTCCGTAGAAAACGAAAATAGTGCATCGCGTGGTCGTCGAAAAACTGTACTTACACTCTGTTTCACGAACGATTCCAACGCATATCACCTGTGCCATCCACTCCCAGCCAAGGCACGTGCCCCACACGGGGAAGAAGTCGCCATCGTCGTTCAATTCCTTCGCATACTTCAATGCCCACCTTCGGCACGATGGGCCAATATGAGAGACACACGAACGATGTGTGTCCGTATGAATTCGTCCCAGTCATAGGTGACACCAGTCTTCACACTTCTCGGTGTATGTGTCGATGTATCAGCCAGGTCTACAGGAGGTTTTTACTATTTGTGGTTGCCCCACCTTTCCTCCTGCGAAAAGGGTAAGCCGTCCATTACCCTCGTTGGCCGTGAAAATGTGGATCATTATACCATACTCATGCAAACTGATCGTTTTCCGCTATCCAAATAAACCCTCCAGAGAGAGAATCGGACCCACAACCTGCTACTAGTAAGTTTGCGAGGTTGACCACTAGACCGCCGGGGGCGACCGGAGGATGAAAAATAAAATAAAACCTAGTATATTAAATCAACGGTGTGATGAATCACGTAGCAGAGAGAGTAGGAGGCTATGCTGGTCCTCAATCAATTACGTGGGACTGTAAACCAAAGATGTCGGACAACGGGGCCGTGCTTGAGGGTGGCAAGAGAGACACAGCAGCTCGTGAAAACTCACTCACAGCTTTGAGGTAGGTTTCTTTGTTGTGGAAGCAGCAGATGCTGATGTTTCAACTTCCAGAAAAGGAGGTGGTACCACTCTGTACCGCGCCCACCTGTACTAACGAAATGCATGATTCCACCAACTCATACCGATAAGCTAAATAATTGTGCCGGAGTCAATACAGCCGTGATTGTTCAAGGTGAGATGCAGACCAGCGGAAGAACGAACGCCCTTGGAAATACCTCCAGTGGTGAACACTCCAACAACTCGCGGATACCTGCTCTTCCTAAGCTCGATCAGGTTGTATCCCTAGCCCTTGCCCGTAAACTACAAGCTGGTCTGGCCTGCATTGACAACCTGGATTCCTCATGAGATGGGCTGATCACAGATAATTCTAGATCTTGTCGGCGCACGTTAACGATGTGTGAGGGTGGCGGTTAAGACTCGTGCGTCAACATTCTTGATGCCGGGTGGGAGTAGGATAACAGCAGGTATCAAAGTGGCGATCTCTGATCACTGGAGGAGCGTAACGTCAAACTACGTGTCCCTTCATCACAGAATCGAGCTGCTTTCGCCCACAAGAACAGCGATCAAAACACCTTGGCTGACACGCGTCATGGAACTACAGAACGATCGCCAACTCGTTGTCTGCCGTACGCTAAACTCAGGCCAGAAGCTCCACGGCGCTTGCTCGGCGATGCGCGAGGCTCCACACACCCAAGCTGGTGCGCGCAAAAATTCCAAGGGCGCCTGAACACGATTGATAATCCCCGCACTTGCCTGACACCCTCCGGTAGCAACGGATGCCCTCCGGGTAAGAGAAGGCCGTTCACTTGGTCCAGGATCGGTCTCAACTCTTCCGGTGTTGCGTCGTACCGAATCGGCAGGGATCTCGCGCCGGCATTCGCAAGCCTTTTGCAAGACACAGGTGGGTGGGGTTCTCAGGCAAGCGATCGATTTCTGCGGGGTGTGGGGTCACGAACGACGACTCGGGGATACAGCCTGGGGCCAGTAAAGCCGTGACATGATCACAGGGGAGAGTGGAATACGCCTCTCGAGATCAAATTTGGGGAGGTACTATTGTGCTTATCGAGACTTCCGACAACTCCCTCGACAAGTTCGTCTCTCCCGTCCGGTCCACTCGGAGGTAGACGCCGGCAAACATGGATTTCGCTCGTAGTGGTTACTTCGTGTTGACATTATTGGTATTTGCTGTGGTTTGGGGATGCTCGTGGGTCGAACAAACGCGACCTACGTTGAGGAGTAGAGAACAGGTTCAAATTCAAAGGATGGCACCGATGTTCGATGTCACCTCTCTCGCGCCTGGGGTACTGAACTGATTTAGGGTCTACGTGTACGGATTGCACAATATCCATGCATGCCTGAGAAACATCCAACTAGCCCACCGCTGTCTTCTTCCCAATAGCAATATGGATGTGCGACGAGCCAAACTTTCCCAGGGGCGACATGGCAACGCCAACAATAGCAAACAGACCATTGCCAACACCAGCGACAGCATCAACATAGTTATTGTACCATCAACCAAACCCGCTAACACAGGGTTACCCACCAATTAACGTAGGCGGCCTTCACAAAATCGCAGTCACCACCGCAGTCCGGTAGGCTGAGATGCTCGAGAAAATACGACGACAAGGGCAGGACGAGGGGATTTAAGGAGGAGAAACTATATGCTACAGGTTGGAAACAACGTCCGCCGCAAGGCAAATTCTCTCTACGGTAAGTTGGGTCAACACATACAAAACTCTGGAAATCTCAGCGCAGTTGAACTATAGTCGGAGGACCAAGGTGCGCCATCCTACTGGTCTGTCCAGTTATCGAATAGCAAGGAACCGATGCTTGACCCGTTCAAACGGCGAATGCCGCAGCAAGGGTGTGTGTGGGCCGGCTCGGTACGAAGAGTCTTGCTGGTAGGGACAGACAAGTCGAGGGAAAGAGACGGAAGAAAAGAAGAAAAATACTATAAGTATCATAGCCGTCAGAATGAACCACTAGATCGAATAGGCGTACTTGTAGACGTTCAAAAACCAAAGATACCCTTGTATATCCATGGGCGTCTAAGCACAGCGACGATATCCTGGGCCAGGAAATGAGCAGCAGCGGGAGCTCGTGATCGTTACGTGCATGTCTAACAGGTGACGTCGCCCTTTACGCGCAGTCTCGAAATACGAAGGCGTGCAACCGGAGAGAAGCTAGTGGGTGTGACTGTCGAAAGGGCGGCATGGAGAAACAGGTATTTCTTTGTCGTTTACCCAAGGTGTTCACAACCGAAGATTTCGGATACGTCAGACCCCCGCCCACCCGGGATAATTTCGAAACATTTCCGTGAACCACCGAAAAGATACGAGCCATTCGGTGAGCGTTTGTGACCCTGGGGTGTGACGTTCGTGTTCTGTCGCTTCGACAATATGCAATATCTCACAGCAGTATTCCACTACAGTACCCGCGATGAAGAGCTAGCTTGTATTTAGGCACAGAATGTAGGTGCGATCAAGAGAGCGTATGCAAGCGTACACCCACAGATTGTGTTGCTGTTGACAACAAAAAGGCTGCCCCACAAGGGCATCGGGTGGAAAGCTTCCGAAGACCAGCTCAGACGTGGCCTTCAAACACACACAGAAGCAGCAGCAGCAGCTGCAGCGAACATAACCTCAGCAAAAACGCGGGGATCTTCGGTACATATTCCCACGTCAGCCAAAACGCCTCCGCACAAACGCGGGAATCTCTGTATAAATGTCCCGCCTTCACGGGCTCAGATTTTCGATCAAAAAGTGGTGTAAGTTAATGCCGTTCACCCGCACTTGGAAAAGTGGCACCTGTGACGGTACAGCAGGGGGCCGTGAATAATTTTTGACCTAGCTTTCAGACAAAATGCTTGATGTACACATGTACACATCTCCTGTTCGGCAAACCAGGGAACGCCTGATCTTGGTTTTCCAACGTCTGCCTTCAATCTACCATCGCGCCGAGGCATCCGTCCGCTCACATCGCGAGCGTAACAACGTTAGTAGCTGATATGGCTAGGGTACTTAGCGCCCCCCCCCGCCGTGAGGGCCGCGGGCCCCGAAAAATACCGCCATTACACAGGAAGTCATTCATCCAGATACAAAATGATAAAAAAGGTCCTCTTAGCGTCCTTGAGGCGACGTGAGTACACATGGTATTGTTAACCCTGTCGCATCGATTTTTTTTTGTTTGTTCGTCTCCATGTACCCGTACGCAGTAGCAACAGAAACAAGTGCTGTCGGATCATCTGGTGCATTATGCACGCCGGCGTCTAAATAATATTGGGTGTCTTCGCGTGATTGTTTGGTGGATCGAAGTCGTCGGATTCTATGTACACGTAGGACAATTCCGAGAAATCAGATGTACTCACATGTGGAAAGCATGTCGTCATCGCAAGACGCAGCAGTTAGTTGTCGGTCAGAGGTTGCAGGTGATATGGCCAATGTGAGAGATCTGGGTAATACTGTCGTCGGAGAAGAGATCTGGGTATGCGTATGTGTACATACATCTTTACATGTTCTACAGTCCGAGAAGAAAATTGCCCCGAAAACTTCTGCGTACAGTTGTCGCTCACAGGTTGCAGGTGGTATGGTCAATTTGAGAGATCGATCTGGGAATGTGGTTGGAGAAGAGATCTGGGTAGACTATGGTATGTGTGGGCATGCGTACATTAAAGTTCGAGAAGAAAATTTTGTCGAACAGTTTCTGCGTAAAGTGATTTTCTCCGACATCTCCGAGAAATCCGAGGGTGTGCTGTTTGAGGTCACCACCACACCGAAGTAGACACTAACCGGCCAAATCGCATACGAACCCTCGTGCATGCATGCGTAGGCCTGCGGTGAGATGGATACCATGTAGGAGAGCAGGTATACTCCCCAACAGCGGTGGCACAGCAGTCGCGCGCCTACACACACGCCTTCAGGGCCAATATTTGTAGCAGGTCCCGGCGAGCGTGTTTTTACAGAGCAGCACAGCAGCACACACAGCAGCAGCGCTTCGAATCGTATCGGTACACAACAAACTCGTCCCATCGTTGTGGTGTAACATGGAAACGGGGCGTATCGTGCGAGCTTTCAAGGCACAGAGTGAGGTACGTATGGTGGCGCTAATTGGATTGGGACCGTTATATCTGGCCAGAATGTCGGTGGGAGAGACACAAGGCAGAGATCCGCAATAAAGCGTTGTGTGTGCGTGTCGCGTCGCGTGAGGTGTGCTGTGAACATTCGTCATCGTCAAGACGCGAGGGAAAGTCCGCCCGTCTCCGGCGTGTTGTTCATATGTATATAGGACTGCATCCCTCGTTATATGCGTATCATGTCGTAGGTGGCGGTAATGTTAACAACCGTTCAGAGATTGAGTTGCAGCAGACGTACATGTACACAGAGATGGATATACTTAAAAAAAAACGGAAAGACATGCTGAATATTTTTTCATACCAAGAGTCAGTAAAATGGTCGACGACGACGACGTCGTTCTAGGAATATATAACTTTGGGTGATTGTATGCATAACCCCTGTGATACGCTACATATTTTTTGGCCCGCGATTCTCCAATCGATCCCTTTTTCATCGAGGGTGGTGCCTGCTGCTTCAAGCAGGGTTTTGGATGTTGACGTGTGGTCCGATTTTCGAACGCTTCCAACCACGCTTGCTGCTAGCTTGTACGTACTGCTGTAGACTTAAGCGTGCTATTGTACGGGTTCTCACATCGACTTCGGCGACGAATAGGATACGTGAGGGAAGAGCTGCGCTGAAGTCGGTGGCCACGCGGTAACTGCTGTGTGCTTCAAGCGTTCCTTAATTGCACCGCGAAGCAGGATCCAAACTCCTTGTAGCACAACGAACTCGATGAAAAACAGCTCGCTTCGACCAGAGGACCACCAATCTGTATCGGCTGCAATCCTAGTGAATCCTACCTGTAACTTTGTACCTCGCGACGTGAACGGGCGCCTTGGTGCGAAGGTAGATTCGTACTGAAGTTAGACTTTGGAAAACCAAGATATGCAGGCCTTTTCCCGGTTCGCCCCAAGAGGATATCTACAACGCTCCACGGCCCCCTCTCGGGTTTGAAGCTTTGAAAGATACAGTAGATTGCATGATGTAAGATATCACACCCCCTGGACCGATTTTTGAAGCTCGATATCTCGGCAAGACAAGCAATGACGGTGCCGAAAATGGCGGCGTTGGACCTGCCTCGTCCAGAGCTTCCCGAAAACGTATACTTCGACTTCGGCATCCTTCTTCGTTGTGGAGTAATCCAGCTTTGGAAATCGGTCCTGGGGGTGTGATATCTTATGCAACCTACGGTAAGAAGAAGTCTTGTAGCAACCAAGGGATAGATAGAGACAACAGGGGGGTGGGTGCCCGGGTGTTCTGGATTTCTCGCAACATCTCTGGCCTGTGACCGACGTCCTCTCTTTCTGTGCCTCTATCTATCTGCCGGCAACCAACCTGCAAATTGTTGGCACTGCTGTTGTGTGCGTAGCGTGGGGACAAAAGCAGTGGATTTGGACCAAACCTTGAGTTCGAAGGGTGTGCCCAGATCGCTACTACAGGCTGCTCCGTGATGATGAGCTCGGTTCCCGCAGCGCCCTTCCCTCTCGAACCCTGCGCAGCCCAGCAGCCACAGACTAAACAAAGCGCAAGCCAGGCGTATTTCATGTCGTCGACCACTGCGGCAGCAGGTCTTTGCTATCTGCGTGCGAAAGACACAGGGCTCGGGGCTCGGGGAACGAGGAAGGGCGAGGGACAGAAAAAAAGGTGTGCCACCCCGCGTCACTTCTGAGCTTCTGAGTTTTTGCCTCCTTTTTTTTCGCCGCCCAGAACCAGTTCGCGGGAACCGGCACTACAGTAGTACATATGTGTCAATAGACACTGCGCCGGTCCCCTGTGAAGGTTACATTTTACAATACACGACACAACGGAGGGTTTCTCCCCGATATTTTGTCGTTGACCCAGTAGAGAACTACAGGGAACGTATTGTAAAATGTAAGTTACCTATACAGATGTTTTTGTACTTAGCACCAGCTGGCATCACTGGTATAAATCGTCATATCAGTGTATAGACTTTAAAAGACTCGAAATAAGTCCAGCACCCAGCCGGTTTCCCTTCACTCACTGAAAAGACTCCACCACATCCCGTTCGACTGTGGGTATGTCTCGAATGGGTAGTCTTTCTGTGTGTGTTTTTATTATTCCTTAATTAAATATGCGCGTATGTGTGTGCCAGCGCAACGAAAATAGCCAGCGGAGCGTGTCAGCCCCTGTCACACAAAGTGTGTTCACGTTCCAAAATCAACGTTTCACTGCTACAGCAGTACACATATGCATACTTCGCCCTTTGAAGACTTGGGGCACAACGACCTCTGTTGCTTACCGCCCTCGAGGTGCAGTCGACTCACACCGCTTGAAAGAAGCTTGCTTGTGCATGGCGACATCCCGCCGAGACGACTTTGGATCTCGAATTTTTGAGGAGTTTCTTCCGTTCGGTAAGACTTGGACAAGCGTGATGATACAACTTGGATAAGATTCCAGAAAATTTCCGTGGAGCGCCCGCCTCCAGTCCGGGCGAATATCCACGCCCCGACCAAGCTTGCCCCAACACACATTACAACTTCCCACCAGCAAAGCCAAAATCCGTCACCATCACCAGCAACCACAACCTACAGTAGTCTACCTGTTCTTCAGCCGCAATCATGCCCTCCATCTCGAGCTCGTGCTTCGCCCTCTGGGGAGGACTGCTGTTGATCCCCTTCTGTCCGCAGGGCTATGGCCAAGTTGAGCTCCCCGCCTTGCCGTACGGGGAGTCTGACCTTGAGCCGTATATCACCGAGGAGGTGAGAAGGAATAACGACCGGCTGCGTTGATGATGGCAGAGAATATCTACATACCATCAAGTAGATAGACTACACTGAGGAGTCTGTACTGTAGTATCGTTGAGTCTCTATCTGCTGCTGCTGGGCAGAGACTGCAGGGTCTTGGCTCTGTTGTTGTTGTTGTGCCGCTGATGTACAGCAGCAATTCTAGACCACATTAGACTATCCGTGCATTTTGACTTCATAAATACAGAGTTCATGCATGGCATGCATAATATTATGCATTGTCTAGTTGAATTTTTCGTGTAGTGCAGCCCCCGCCAAAAGAACACGAAAAAAATGGGATCCATCCGATGAGAAGGAAGAGAGTGCTGCACGATGAGAAGGCATAGTACCGCAGGAGGGGTGGGTAGGGGTGAAACCTTCAGTGTGGCCACGGTTTGGAGTAAACGGCACAAGTGCGGTGAACGCTGATTTGAAGCCAAGACCAAAAAAAAAAAAAACATGTGGGCACCTTGGGCACCACCAAGTGGGCTGGTCTGGGTTGGCGGCGGACGCGCAACAACAGCAGCACTGTTTTGTAACAGCGACACCAGTCCTATCTATGGTGGTGTGGTGCTGTACGCGGCCACCATTGTTGTTGTGTGTATGCATACAATGCATACATTTCTACAAAAGAGGCACGTTATTTAAACTACAGCTCTTCCTTGGTCACAGAGAGAAGACAAGAGTGGATTCATGCGGATAATATTAGTGTACGACGTGGCAACCTTCGACCCGCGCGTCCTCCGGCTTGCGGTGGGGGTATACGATGATATTGCATTCTAGATGGGAAAGCCAAACCGCACCGTTAGTGAAAAAATAACGTAACAGCAGGTGAGCGGCGGGCATGGCGGTTCCGGGGTGTCTGGGATTTGAATCACAGTTTTCGGCAAATAGCAGCACCAAAAGGAGGTGGTGTCCTGTCCGCCTCAGTACAAACCCAAATCTCAGGAACTGCAAACCTTCCATTAGAGTTGGTCTGTAAAGTATTTTATTTTTATCTAAAACAGGACAGACGGCACGACTGCTGTACTGCTGATGTCGTTGTCGCGCTCTCGTCTACCTAGTTGCACGGCACGAGGAAGAGTCTCCACCGCACACCACACACAACGGGCTCCACAGCCACCCCGTGAGCGCAATATGCCCTCCTGTATGTATGCTGACCAACAGAACGCGACATGTAGCGGCAGCAGCTGCTGCCACCAGTACCGCAAGGATGGATATGAACCGCAGCATGTGCCGCCGCTCTTTGTGGGTTTGCCCCCCTCCCTCCGAGGTTTGCCAGAAGGTGCTCCCAGTTTGTGCCAGAGGGTGTTCCCGGCTCACGCAGCTCACTGGCCTCAAGCCCCTTGTTCACATCTATCTCCACACACCGGAAAACAAGCGCGTTCTCAACCACAGCCTATTCAAAGTTTTGAAGCACACTCAACCCCAACTCGGGGTCTGTTTTTTTGAAAAAGCCACACTTTTGGTCCCCTAGTTCTGTGGATCTTCCTGTTCTAACTCAGGGTCGGAATGTGAATCCGATTCAGACCCACCCTAAAGGGTGCCGAATAGACCGAACGAAGAATGCGTCGTCCTTCCGTACTGTACTAAAGATTCATCCGCAATGTCGCCAAACTCCCCGCCCCATTCCATGCTGTGTATGCTCCGTCCTTCCTTGCCCTTGTCCGCCAGACCGTGGGCTTTCACTACGGAGCGCATCACCAAGGATGTAAGTACGGCACTGATTTGAAAGCACTCGTGATTCGGTTTCGGGTGGGTGTTGGATTGGGTGCACGCCCTAGAGTGTCTGTTTTCTCCTTTTTCCCCGCACCTGTCTGGAAGGAACGGCTGGTGGTGAGTCGTGTTCGGAGGTGCCTATTGCACGAAAAAATCTGCCGCTTTGTTCCACTCCTCGAGTGTGAGGTGATCTTTGCGAATCACGTTGAGCGTAGTGGGGCGCAGGGAGCCTTGGGATTGAGATGGCCTCCTCTTGTCATATCCCTAGGTCATTGTGTTAACTTTCCTTGTACAATCTTGATTTTTGCGCAGCTTATTCTTCCTCGTGCTGTTTTCGTGGCTTGGTTGTGCCGCCCCGCAGATGTGAACAACATGAACGCTTTCATCGAGGCTGATCCTGATCTCGAGGGCCTTTCCCTCTCGGCGCTCATGGACCAGACCGAGGGGACAATTTTCAACAACGCCGCCCAGGTGTGGAAAGCATCACATATGCCGGCAGTCCAGCCGTTTTTCGCACTCGGGGTCACGAGCTCCTTGAGCAGGAGGCCGTCAATCGGTGCCGAACGACCCTGTTGATCCGTGCTAGGACGTCCGTGATTTGGTATTTAGTGTTCAATTCGAACCTCACGTTTTTCTTTCCGAGGTGTGTTGGGTTTCGTCACATGTGTTGGGAGGGGGGGCTCATGCATGAAGAAAGAAGAGAACACATAATCGTATTGCTGTTGTGCCATTGTGTCACTAGAGACAGGAGGTACTGACGAAAATGAGCCCCAGTACACGTGCTGCGGGGGGTTGACAGTTCTGGAACAACGGCGTGGAAATATATTTTTTCCTATCTGAGATGAAGACTGGAGAGATCATGGTTCGACCACCCCATCACCGACCACCCGGTGCCCGTTCGATTGGTTTTGTGAGGGTTTATTGCGAACGTGGCAACAAGCAGAATTAGAGTTGTACATCGAGTTTTACATCGTGATCGTGGGAAACCTGTACAGGGGCTCCTCGTGATGGTGTACAACCGTATTCGGATGCCGAATAGCCCTGACGTCGGTTGGACGGTCTCAACGCGAAGGTGCTGTCCTTGACGCTGATGAGAGTTACGTACAACAATTCCTGTTTCCAGATCTACAACCACAACCTCTACTGGAACTCTCTTTCGCCTAGCGGCGGCGGGGTGCCGGAGGGGGATCTCTACACCGCTATCCAGTCGGCCTTCGGCAGTTACGAGGAATTCCAGACAACGTTCACCGACTTGGCCTCTGGACACTTCGGCAGCGGGTGGGCCTGGCTAATGATGCACGAAGATGGCTCCGTGGATGTGAGGAAACAAGAGAAACATGCTGTTATTCCAAGGCGTTCTGTCTGAAACGTGTGTGCGCCGGGGGGGGTCCTAGTTGTCAGCGTTACCATGGAGAGACTTTCGACAATCCTGCTGGCATACGGCAAGCCCTAGTCTCGACACCACTCTACATTTGTATGTTCCAGCATGGACCCAGTCTTTTCTCTCCCTGGGGATAGCCTCCTACCTCCTACCCTAGACAGAGGCCATGTCCCCTAGCCATTTCTATGAATTCTCACCAGCTGGCAACAATGGAAACAGCAGTACTCTCGATGCTCATTCGTGAGGTGCAGTCGTGGCTTGTTCGTGCCTTCCCGCTAGCCAAGACAGCCTAGCCGGCGCTTCGTGCTCAGCCTCTACACTGGTTATCTCACAGATCAACCATGACCTTATCGTACAAGGCCAAATCATCGTTGCCACACGTCTCTGCTGTGATGAAACATGCCGCTTTCGATGTCAATCCAGGTGGTGGACTCGCACGATGCCTCGAACCCCGAGAGCGATGGACTTGGATTCCCGCTCCTGGTCTGCGACGTTTGGGAGCACGCCTACTACCTCGACTACCAGAACTTGAGGGCCTCCTACATCGAGGTGCGACCTTCCGCAGTCCTCGTCGCAGAGCACTCCGTATGAAGTGTTTCACGCTGGATGCCTCTTTTCGAGTCTTGTAAGATATCGGTATCATCTTCTTGCCCTTTGTATTGTCTTGCGCGTAGGTTTCGGTGGTGCCGCTTTTCGCGTGTCCGTTCCCTCCTGTTTCTGATATCCAAGTTCGTGCCGTCTTCGTTGTCCGTCCGGCTGTCCGATGCTTCCAGGGTTGGTGGGCTTTGGTCAACTGGGACTACGCTGAGTCCGAGTACACCCGTGTGTTGGACGAATACAACAAGAAAGACTAAGCAACTAGGGGAAATGATTGCCCCTGTGCCCCCACACTGCGAAGGAAGTCTGGTCCTTTTGAAAAGTATCGCGCAGGAAGATGTGGTACGGATGATGTGCTGTGTACAGCACTAGTAGGTTGATGTATAGTCGTGAGGAGGCTGCAGTGTATGAAGGGGGAGGTCGTTGTAAGTCTGTACTTGAAAAGCAGGCCATGTTGTGTGTGAATTGTTCGAATTCCGCGGCAAGTTCATAGAAAGAATACTATATGCGTTGGAAAATACTGATGTTCGATCGTCATTCTTTGCAGAAAACGCGTGCTAGAGACGCAACACCCAAGGCTTGTTGGGTTCTGCGACGAGCGTGATGGCATAGGTGTTTTCAGCTAGATATTCCCGACATTGGGCAAGACGACGTTGTGGACGCTTTGTGTTGGTAGTTACCCGTATGTTGACGACGCCGACACCGACCATGGTTCTTGACGAATATCGTCACGGTAACGGTGCAAAGCAAGTGGTGAAAAAGTGCAAACTCCATGTCGGGTGAATCACATGTGCGAAAGTCTTTGTGTCATTGTCGTTTGTTGTGTCATTGTCGTTTGTGTCGTTATTGATGGGTCTCGTATTTTTTATTAGTCATGGTTTGTCGTCGCGGAACACGCTCCCGGGTGTATAGACTTAGATTTTCGCGTGCTCTCTAGTGAAACACACGTGCGACGGAGCTGAACGGGCATGGGCGTGAATGTACCGACGAGCACCGTCCCCTTGAGAAGGAAGGACGGCGAAAGGCTTGCTGCCGAGAGTGGCAGAAATACCGAAGCGTCAGAAGTGGCTACGTTGTTATAGGTTACGGTCATCATATACTAGACCCGGCGCTCGCTGTTGAAGTGGCAGAAGAATTACATAGCGACGCACTTGTCGTATTGAGCGATGGCCCGAGCACGGAGAAGTACATACACAGAGTTTCGGGTGTCATAATGCATACCTCAATGTTCGCTAGAAAAGTTCCACCGTAAACTACACAGCAATTGTTCGAGCTTCGGATGATTTTTTTGTAGAGCGGCGGGGGGTAGTTGTGATATAGCGTACAACGTTTCCCGGAAGGAATTCGTTCCGTCGTAGATGTATACGAGAAGAGTGAATGCAAAAAAATGGGTTCCGCCGCAGGAGGATTTTGCAAACTCCGACTTGTTTGGCGCAGGGTCGCAAGTAAGATCAAGTTGCACAGCGACGCACAGCCTTGATCTGTGGGCATTGACAAAGAATGCGGTGTTTGTTGTGTACAACAGTGGGTCCGCCTCTATAATACGAAGTAAATGTTTTGAAAGAACGGGGTCTAAGAATATATAGACGTGGAGACAATTATGCTTTGCTAACAGTGAGCCCTCAGACTTGTCCGAGAGCACATGGGAACTTGGATATTGTCTACAGTTCGTTTTTGTGCCGAACAACAAATGAATCCGTCCGTGAAGCCAGCCTTGGACTCCATCTCCCGTGCACAGGTGCTTGGTGTTCTCTTTGATCGTTAATTACCGCTGCCTCGTTTCGCATTCATTCGTTTGAATCTCGGCCTTCGTACAATCGAAATTTCACAGATCAGATCAAGTTAGGTAACCTCGACGCTCACAAGCGCGAGAGTTTTTCGGTACTTGGCTACATCGTATCACATATGTCAACCTATTTCTAGTACTTATCATGGGCGCCACCCTTCCTTGAGCCAAACTCCTTCATTGCCGAAACCATCAGCTTCGTCACGGTTGTACATTTCTTCCTTTCACATCTAGTCTACTCAACATGTCGGGGTTCATGTCACAACGTCAATAGCTACGTCTAGCGCCGTTCATTATTACCAATTCCACCTACCGCATGGACCTAAAGGGTCTTTTGACCAGGATAAGGAAAGGGAAGACCTTCACAATGCTCTTGTACACGTATTTACCTCACGCTCAACCATGACGACGTGACCTCCGCCACCACAACGAACTGCTTCCAAAATGTCAGGACTCTACTCTACGGTCAAACGGCGCGGATGGATGAATAGTTTTATCCTGGACGCACATTGCTGACCCGCACTTCTCGTGGTCTTCCGAAGAACTTGGCTTCGTCAATCTACGAACAAAACAATAACTTTCACAAAGCACGTCTCCCCACTTCTTGCATCGACCAAGAGGAAAACCACAAAGCAAGGTAGGGAGAGAATGCCCCAAAACTATGCATGTACTAGACGACACGGAACAACACACCAGAAAAAACCCACTCAACTCAACTTAGAGAGAACCACCCAAGAAACCCGAACAATTATTGATGGAGCTAACCTCGCACTATGAAAAGCAAAAGTTGGGTCATTTGCTCGTGACATCAACACTCACTGCACCTATATTTTCCTTGCTGGTCAAGGGGAGCTATTTGACAGGGGCCTTCACCCCATCGAGTTCAAGATAACAACGACGGCGCCTACTCCAATCCAGACGGATAGGAGGCTATGATCATCCCGCCGGTCGTTGCTGCCGTTGTGTTGCATGTCGGCGACCCCGACCACGCACTTCCTCCGTCTTCGGCTTCCTCCCATTGCCCTTGGTCCTACCGCTGTCGCCAGCGGTGCCCTTCGCCTCGTCTACGGCGGTGGCCCTCCGACCGTTTATCCCAGCCCCCCTAGAAGAAGTGTGGTGTTGGCCTAGGCCCTGATTCACAGGACGACACCGATGTGCCAGCCGGCGAAGGCTCAGTAAACGGCGGGGACGGGCTTGCGGACCCCATCGGACTGGCCTTCGCCCTTGCTGATAGCTGAGGCTCAGGGACGTTTTGAGGGGATTCGAGCAGGTCGCACAACCCTCCCGGTGACGTGAGCTCGTCCAGGCGCGCCACGAACGGGGGGTACATGTCAGCTTCGCGCTGTTGAGATTGGTGCAGCTGCTGGTGCTGCTTTGGGTGGTGGTCATCCTGGTCGCCGCATGCCGGTTGAGGTGGCGGATCAACTTGCAAGTGCGTGGACAGTTTGTCGGCGTTGCCACTGCTATTGCCGCTGCCGGCATGGGCAGCTTTCTTGGGCCATTGTCGGCGCTGTTCCTCTTCGTCTTGAGGTGACCCCGCGATCGCCCCAAGTCGGGCAGATGTGGCAAAGTCGGTCCTGTGGGCGTTGTCGAAGACCTCCACCGAACCGATACCAGAGCTCGTCGCCGTCGACGACGACGTTAAGACCGACAGCGGAGGGGTCTCCACCACCTGCGAGAGGAACGTCGATCGTGGCCTCGATGCCGCAAACATCCGTCCTCTCGCGCCCATCCCTGCCAGAGCGACCGCTGCACGGCGAATCAAAGGGAAATCGTGTGGTTCTGGGTCTGCTGTGGTGGTCGTGTCGAGGTGTTGCGCCCCGCCCGTGGTTGCCGCCGCTGCTGCTCTCGCGACGTCCGCTGGAGGCATGGCCTTGACCGAGTGGATCAGTCCGCCCCCGTCAGCCTGACCCGGATCGAGGCTGCTCTGAGCCACCGCAATGCCACCACCGGCGGCAAAGTGAGACAGAGCGGACTGCCCCTCAAACCCACCGTCGCCGGTGTATTGCCACCAACCACCGAGCTCGTGGGAGACCCCCAAAGGCGACCCGGGCTCGTCAAACGCCTCAGCAAGAGCCTTCGCGGTGATCGTTGTGCTAGATTTCCTTCCCGTCGGAGACACCGTATCGGCGCCATCATCGTCCGAAAAGCGAGGGTCCGACAGTGTCGAGGATCTGAAGCTGAAGGAAGACAGTGGCGACCCTTCGGAGGAGCTCGGGAACTGGTCCGGGATCGTGCGCCCTCCGTCGCGTCCTGAATTTGAGAATGAGGGCCACCTGATCTTGTGGGCGACAAGCAGGGAGTTCCGCCTCGTAGGGGAAGATGGGACGGCGGTGGTGGTGATCCTCTGAGAAAAGTCGCCCTGCCGTTTTTCTTGTTCGGTAGCGGCCCTCAAAGAAGCGGAGCGCATCTGTTTCTCTTCTGCTATGATCGATGCGGTGCTCTTCAAGGAAGCGGACCGCCTCTGCTCTTCTTGCTGCACGAGGATGGCGAAGGCCTTCGTGTTGCCCTGGCTAACGGTTCCGCTGCTTCGGAAACTCGAGGACAGTGCTCGCCCGGCATTGATGATGGAACGCCTGCCACTATCGGTGCCCGCCTTGTTGCCGGCCGTGCTTTCATTGTCTTCGGAGGGGCCTCCGTTATGACCACAGCAGTCTTTCCCGCTGGAAGCATCGCTCCCCGCGTCTTTCTCGTCGCCTTCACCCGGAACGATCCCATCCGCACTACCAGCGCAATTACGACAGGTTGTGCCGCATGCTTTCATGGTCCGCGAACCAGGTGACGCAGCAGTGGCGCTTGACTCTTGCGCGGAATCGGGGCCGGGAACCACGAATCCTTCGCGACCGCGACGGCCTCCGACTCGGACAGCAAGGACTAAGCTGACCAGACTCCCCAGGGCGATTCCTCCCATGACGGTGGAGAAGAAACCGACGGGGCGCGAATCAAGGCCCTGCCTGGCAACCACCAGATCTCCGTAAGTCGCTGCGCAATCTGAGAAGGGGGGCACACAGTTAACGCATGTTTTTTGGGATTGGGCATCGCGTTCTCTTGCTTTCTCACTCTCTCTCTCTCTCTCTCTCTCTCTCTCTCTCTCTCTCTCTGTTTCTCTCTCTCACGCGCGCGTGCGTTCTGGCGCATGATGTCATCTCACGAAGCGATGAAGCATCCTCCGTATGTTGCTGATCTCCTCTAGGCAACTTGTGACTGTGGCCGACTCCCAGAGGGCGAAGTATGGACAAGAGGCACGAACCACGAACCGTACGGAAATTGCCCCTCACCTCGGTTGGTCTCTAGACCAGAGGCAGTGTCGTGAGAAGCAAGTGGGATGATGTTTCAAGAAAGCGACCCACAGATTTGTTACGCCGCTCCGGGGGTTCAGCAGGAGAAACACAAACAAGCTTCAGCACACGAAACTTACAGAGTGTGCTGGCGTAGTCACAGTTGTCCGTCATGTCCAGGCCGTCGAGAAGGACTCTCGACATGAACGAAGAAGTCCAGTCTGCCCGAGGAGGTTGATGACGAAAGACGGAAACGACGGCGGACTTGTGAATATGCACTGTTGCCGTGTAGGACTCCCTAGGGCCTCGGCAAAGTTCCGTAGGTCAAGGCAATATGTTGATTTTTGTAATGGCCAGTGAAGTACTGTAAGACATGAAATGACCAGTATCGACTCCGGTAGAGAAGAGTGCACTACTTGGCTGGATGGTGGGATATACATGCATCTGCTACATGCAAGTCAGGGAATAACCTTATATCCAACGATGCGCATGGTGTCATTTCTGTTGTGCCGAATGTTGCAACAAGGCCCACACGAGTACCGCGAACAAAGCACACAAGGCCAGTGCGGGAAACCGTACACCCAACCTGGTGCTGTAGTGTGGAACTGTTGCAGGGACCCTGATATAGCCCTACTATAAAATGTGTGTGTTCATTCTTTGATAATCACGCTTGGGATAGCGGCAGGCTTGGCTATAGACTGATCGATTAGACTGCTTACCACAGTTAGGTGTATCCCAGTCTGTCCATCAGTCACAACATCGGAAATTTTCCTCCTCAAGCCGAGTTTCAGTTCCAACGAGACCAACCAGAAAGAGGACCCCTAACTCCAAAGTAGCGCCAACAATACACACCTCATCTGTATATGGCAAAGAGGGAAGTACTGCAAGTGAAGTGCACACACAATCAGAAATAGCTCTTTCGAAGCAAGAAAGATGGCGGTGATAGGCTCACGGTCAGATGCTGTCGACTTGTGCGTGATGAAGAAATAATTGATGATGAAAGCGTTCGGGTTGGGAACTTGTAGTGTGTGCGTGGTAGAAAAACACCGAGAGGCGGCCATCAAGGAACATACTCACAATGAGGAGAGGTGTAGGTCACTGCCCTCAGAATGAAGGGAAGGCCAGGCAGGGGAATAAAAATGCCCGAGAAGAAGGCCCATCTGCGCCCATCGAACACAAAAACGGACAATTGAAGCGAACTTGAAACGGACAGGAGGGGTCTACAACGAACGCAGACTACAGTAACATTTTCTTACCGACGTAGATAGTCGCAGGTCATTTCCAGAGACCCGTATGGCGCGGGGGTGTCCAGTGACGGTTGTGGCTTTGGCATTTCTAGACGGACAACGCGTTCCGTGTTACGCCCAGACCTTCGCACGAATCACCCCCATCACGATTTCTTCGATTTCCTTGGTTCACTACACCCAGACCCAACAGGATATGTAGAACCGCCGAGGACGAGATTGCCATTGCAGAGACGGCTTCGCCATCTCATGCGCGTCTTTCAGACTTGCTTCCCAAGTCTTGCGTTAGCTGCTGCAAAACTGCAGCTAGATGGGTGGTTGGCGGACGTGTAATTACACCAATAAAACAGTCTATAACGTGCCAAACAATCGAAAGCACAGACAAACAGACGTCTACCGGAATCACAATCAACGAGAACCTTCAGTGACCAACAACAGATGGTTCTGGGACATAGTCGCGCCGTTTGCGTGCTGAGAAAGTGCAGCTGAAAAATGAAAAGCAAACAAAACTTCCGGCACCACGCCGGCAACGGCGGGTTAACACAATGTCAGCATAGTGGAAGAACCACAGCGACAACATCCCCCGCAGATTTGAAGCAAGGCCCCACGAAAGAAAACGTTTCAATGGCGACTATCGATCGCGACTCACACAGCGCTGACGGAGCCCCTCACGACGAATACGTGTTCCAAGTTCAGTCGAGAAATCGCCAGGACGATTATGAGCGCAATTTTGACCCAGGCCATGAGGGTCACTATGGCGGACAGCTCGACGAAGACCAGAGAGGAAGACCCACGTAGTTCTGCGCCGCACAAACAATAGCAAGGCGATGGAGGCTCAGGCCTGGACATGCGAAAGAGCCCGTAGTTGTATTTCCAACCACTCGCGCCGTGCCTGAGGCACCTCCATGCATGACCGTGTGCGGTTCAGCCCAGAATCCAGACAGGGCCGGGTGTCGGGCACCTTCATGCAATACCAACCGAGGGTTTGAGAACAACACCAAATGCGGGTTCTCCCAGCACCATACCCCGGGCAGAAAGGGCGCCGGGGTTTCTCCCTCTCGGCAGGGATGGGCGGGGGGTGAGGTGCTCTAGGTGGTCAGAGAGAACGGGGCTTACCGGAAATGATGTGGCGCCAGAGGATGGTGTGCATGACGCCTACGACAGATAACGAGGCAACGATGCCCACGGAAAAGTGATCCAGCACCAGTCTGGCGGCGGCGCACAGCGGATGGTACAGCCCGTCCGCAATCTCGGGCTTGTTGAGAGACATCCACTCGTTGCGAATCACGGGGGCTGTCAGAGGGTAGTCTTGATCGATTTCGTTGTTTGTTTTGTCAAACGACGGGAGGAAAAGAGGCAAGGCGTTCATTGGGATTTGGCAGCGAGCAAGGGAGGGGGGCATCATCATGCTTGGCATGCCTGGGCGGTTAGGCCATTGACCACGCGTCCTCGGGAGGACGGAGAAACGTTCCCACAGGACCGATCACCGTTCGTTAATCTTTCCTTCCTACTTTGCCGAAGGTGGCAATACAGTAGTCCTCTGAACACTGCCCTCATTTATACCCTTCACGGTTAAGTAACACATGTGGGCGGAAGCGCCGAGAGAGGACATAGTGGATATCTGGTGTAGAGGACAATGAGGAAATGAACACGCAAGTACTCAAAGCCAACTCTGGCCATAAGCGGTGATGGCAACTGGGGGAGCTCGACCCCGAAAACAAACCACACGGAAAATACCTGCCACACAACAAGAACCACCCAAGAACAGTTTCCTTGACAACAACTCCAACCACGCGCAAAACAACACGCAACAATACCAGGCAATCCTTGTGCCATCACAAGCATTGCCGGACTCGACTCACATATGATGGTCACCGGCAGAAAGGTAGCGATGAGAGCACTAAGGCGTAAGTGGGACAGCTCTCTAGCTGCGTCGCCCCCCGCCCTAATTCGGAAAGATGTCGCTAGGATGACAGTGGCACCAATCAGCAGCAGGAACTGACGTCGCAACCGCCTTTGTAGCGTGCATAGGTACGAAAAAAAGAATCGGACGAGCAATTGTTGGGGAGTTTGGAGTACAGCCAATGTCCACATCTCAATGTACGTGTCAGGTCAGTTTCGTTGATGCTAAACGTATGTCTGTGTACTAGGATTCTATGCGGACTGCGTCTTCACAGGACAAGGCGGCCATTTCTTGGAAATAATTTCATTCTTGCTACGCCATTGACGGGGTACGTTCGCCAAGGGCAGCCAGCGGAACCGCCCACGACCAACAGCCCATGACTGACTGCACATGATGGGCAGTCCATGTTGGGACTTTGATTGAGTACCCATCCTTGGACAGCATATGCTGAGCATTTGCTTGAGTGCCCCAGATGGGCGGCCTACGGGCAGCCCATCGTGGGCGACCTATGTTCACCTCATTGAACTGCCCATGGGCTGCCGCTCATTGAACAGAAAATGTAACTCTCGGTAGGGTGGCAGATTGCGTGCCAATAAGTTGTGAGCAGAGATCGGAATGTTTCTGGAGAAAGGCGGAAACACGACGCATGTATCCGGACCCGTGAGGGTGTGACGCCAACAAGGAATTCAAACAAGCAGTAGGTACCCAACGATGTAGTCCGTGGGTTGTCCTCCTACTTCTTTCACATTTGTGTCGTCGTCTCCACCGCACAAATACCTCCGTCTTCCGTACCAACCCAACGGTCGAGAAGACGCAACTTAGCTACATGTCAGTGGGTACACGTCATCCAATGTTCAGGATGTCCGTTCGTCTGTGTGTCCGTGTCATACCATTTGAATTCACCAGCGGGGGGTCACCCAGGCGAAGACAAGAGAGTACTCTCTTGTGTTCGTGTCTCTACCTTGCTTCTGCCTTGCGGTGCCCAAGAAAAGGGATGAGAACCGGAACTTGTGACGATTTTTCTTTGGGCAATATCTGGCAAATCACCCACCTGCAAATTCCCCCCGGGATCTGGTGCACATTCCTCTACCATTGTGTTCATGAATCAATTGTGGTAGTGCCATTGCCGCGATCGTTCACTCCCTGATTCAATATTGATACATACACGGATCTGCCTGTCTGGTTCGTTTGGATAAGCCAATGAAAAATAAGGACGGAGCCTCACGACTCGCGTCTGAGCTAGCTGTGGATGTTCTGTAAGGTCCCATACTAATGAAGAGCCAAAATCAAATTCGAGCTGTGATGGGTCGAAGCCCAAAAACAATGACGTTCGGGTTTTTAGGCACAACGTTCAATTTTGGTTTCATGACTTTGAAAAAAACGTCCTTGGAGACTACAAAAATCAAATAGAATGATCTATTGACACTGTCGCCTCTTGTAGCCGATTTTGATTTTGATTTTGTTGAATTTGGTTTTTTGTTCTTCGTTATTACGGGGCCTACGTGCAGTCAACATTTTTTCGGTGAGGTGAAGAGACAAACCGTGTCAACGTAAACACGACTGTTCGGTGTAATTAGGTAATTGCCGCCAGACGAACACTGCACTAGGGTGAAGAGTGATGCTATTTGTTTCGCCTTGGAATAGAGTTCTCACATGCTGTCGCCGCGCTTCCAGGAGCGGGCCATGAGTATCGCCACGACCTTCCAGGAGGGGGCCCGAGCCTCCCCCTCCGTTGTCATCGCTGCCGCAGCCGTTGCGGCAGCACCAGCACCGGCAGTAGGGCCAGCATCTGCGACAGCACCGGTAGCAACTGGACCGGGAGCCATCTCCGCGCCAGCAGCAAGGCGAATGGCTGCCTCGAGATCTCCTCCGGCCATCATGGCTGTGGGTCTGCCGAGAAGGCCGTTGGCCGACGTTGAACTTGCATGCCTACCCTGTGTTTGTTTCGCCACGGGAAAACAAGCGGTTCGGGAGTGTGTTTTCACATGTGCTGCTTGCTCTTGCGGTCGTTGGATTGCGACCGTAGA